ATCCTGAATGCTGGGATTCTAGGGAATGGCAATCGTATGGGTCATCACTGCACATGGGGTGTAGATTGGACCGCAGCCAGGGCAGCTTTTTCCCACCAATAATGCCATCTTCAGAGTGCAACTCTGCAACAACTGACGGGAAAAGCTGATTAGGTCAAATCCAGGGCAACTTCTTCCGTCTTTTTCTAAGCCTGTGGTGCACTGTTCTCTGTCTCGAGCTCACAGCGAGTGAATGGTCTCACTTTCTTGCCATGGTTGAGGCAGTAGTGGACGGCTCGCTCCAGCTCATAGAGGAACATCTGGAGAACGATTTAGCCAGGACCTTCAATGTACCTCGCCGCCCTACTCTAGAATTTCGAGGATCAGCGCCATGAGCAAAATTTCATTTTTGTCCCCTCTTAAATACATCGCGCTTTTGAGTGGACTTCGGATGGCTTAGCAGTTCACTACATATTCTTATCACAACAAAGAGGGAACAAACCTCCAACCTTAGAACACACTATTACGGAGGGGCTAGGTAGGGAAACCCATCACCCATAGCTGCTTCATTCTCAACACAAAATTGTTTTGGTGGAAACTAAAGTAATTAAACTAGTGGCAGACCTGCCACGGATACGTGAATATCATGAGACACATTGAGTCATTGCGAATTCCCCCACGGTATACAAATGCAAGACCTACTTTCAGCGCGCTACTCCGGGGTCACCTTGCCTCAGTCTTTTTGGACCGCGTTCATTCTTTGTCACTAGAGCCATCTGACCTCTGAGGATTTACCGCTAATAGTTGAACCGCTTCAATTGCTGATTCAACCATGATCAAGATAAGCTTTTTTCGAGTTTTGCAGCAGTCCAACGATTAGCGGTGGAGCGCGGTGAATCGCAGTCGCGCGAACGAATCTCCCAAGTCGCTAAGTATGGATGCAACCTTAGGCTTTGTTGTTTTTCTTTCTGCTATTTTCATGCGATATTTGCCACCGATATTTACCATAATAGCTCAGTTATGATGGCATAATAACAGCAATTAAATTGAGTTCTTATATGAGCCTACGAGCTGTGTTTAGAACTGATGACGTTTTTCTACTCACCGCTGTTCAAAAATTCATTAGACTGTTTCTTAATAACAAAGAAATTCTGACGTCGGATTTTCTCGGAATCCCTCTTTTGTTCATCCCCTGTAAGTTCTTTCCCAGATTCTATTGAGTGTATTTGTCACGATAAACTGCGGTTGATTGTCCCACAAGTGCATCA